GCTTCTTCAGCTCTTACACTGCACAGAGCATTGAAGAGACAACTCAGAATGCTCCCTGAGCTATAAGTAGTGTCCATGCCCGTCGCTGTTTGAGCCATGCTGACTGTCTTCCTGCTTCCATCACTAGAAACACATGCTGAAGGAGGGCAAGGGCCGGATGCTGCAGGCCATCAGCCCAAAGCAGAGTCCCAGCAGTAGCCCCACACATGACCGCTCCCCGTCTCCCTCCTTCCGCTGGCCCTTTTCAACCAAGACTCCTCCTTCCTCACCTGCCAACCGCTCCAGGAACGAGTCTGCAGTCACCTACGACATCAGTGAGGATGAAGAGGATTAAGCTGCCAGCTGGGATGTGCTGCAAACCGCTGAGTGTCGAATCCAAAGTCCAGACCCACTGGGGAACTCTAAATGAGCAAGGGAGCCATAGGAACAGGGCTGACGGTGAGCACGGGGCCTTGGAGGCACCCGCTACTCTTAGCAAGGGCTGCTGCCTGGAAGCACATTCAAACCTCCTCTCCCCTCTCCTCCCCAAATCCCCTTTTTATTGTTTACGTTCTAGTGGTTTTGAGGGAGAAGATGGGTTTTATTTTTTAAGAAGATACTCTTAACACGCATAGAATAGCACTCGAGCGTGGCTGTCGTTTCCGTTTCTTTTCCCTTGTTAACCCTCCATACAAGAGGGAGAGTGGAAAGACCTATCTGTCTCTTCTTCCCTTCAGCTCCTCTGTCTTATTCCCCTCACCCCCAGGCAGTAACTGTGCCGCTGCCAAAGGAAAGACCCCTTGGTTCCTCAACCAGCGTGACCTCGAGAGCACGCAGCAAGCAGTGGTGTGAGGAGGCTTCTAGGAAACAGAGACATCTCTACTGCACTGGAGCCCATAGGAATCTCTTCAGCAGACCCTGTAGTGCTCGCACACCTCTTAGCCAGGCTTCCCAGTGTGTCACAGTGAGGACGTGCTGGGTGGGGGCCACCAGCTTAGCACACAGGAGTTACACCCTGGAAGAACTCACAGCACCACAGAGTTGCGTGCCCCGTAAACGCAGCATTCACAGCTCCAAATTGTATGGGGGCTGTGGGGGAAAGGCCTTTCCAGCTAATCTTAACAAGACTCCTAAATCTTGAGCTAAAATTCAGCCCTTGGTGGCTGTTGGAGAGAAGAGAATGAATCTTTGCTTCAGGGCGCTTTCTGTCTGTGCATTTTTGGGCGTGTGAGAGCCCAGGTAGGAAGTGAACGCGTGTATTCCTCGAGAAGTTCCTTGTCCCGGTCTTTGCTGTGTAACAAGTTTTACTCTGTCCAGACGGCCCCTCGGCGCCGTGCTCTGTGCGTGTCTGTGTCGCAGTCGTTGTGCTCAGAGGGCTGGAGCAGTCCTGGCCTCGCTGGCACCGTGGAGCCGCTGCTCTGATGGCAGGAGGTGGCCTCGTGCAGCTGCCGTGCTGCCCGTGCTGCTGTGGGTGGCCGGGCAGGTGCCGGCGCGTCGTGCCCAGTGAAGGGTCCCGTTCCCGTGTGGCAGTGAAGCTGCCTCGTGCAACGCCCGTACCCACTTACCCCGCTCCTTGAGGCAGGCCAGAAAGGGCACCAGAGAGTGCTGCAGCTTTTTAAGTTTTTAAATGTCTTCTTGTTTGAAACCGTGGTCCGCGTGGTGCTGGCTGTTGTGTCTGTAACAAACGCTGAGCTTCGTGGCCTCTGGCTCCACGCGGGCATTTGCCCTCGCCGTGCTGCGTGCCTCTGCACAGAGCAGGTCACTGTGCTTTGTCCTGGCAACCAGCGCTGGGAGGGACTGGACTCACTGTCACATAGCCGGGAGGCTCCTGCTTGCTTTTCTGTTTGGATTTGCCTGTGATACCCGTTGTCTCTGGGTGGAGCTGCTGGGCTGAGTTGCCTGTATCCTCCCATGATGCTGGGAGCAGAGGACAGCTCAGAGCCTGGTCAGCAGTACACGAGGAGGTCTTCACAGCAAGATACGGGGCTCAGGGAGCAGCGGGTGCAGGGGGCAAAGCGTCAAGTGGTGCCCCAGGTTCTGGAGGGTAGGATGCTTCCAGAGGACACAGGAGCCCCACGGTAGGAGCAAGCTGCTGCTTCTTTCCAGCTTTTGTCTTGTTGATCCTTTTGTCACACTGCCCAAAGGTGCTTCTGTGGAGGCCAGAGCTGTTATGGGAAAGAGGATTTTGGGGATTCCTCATCTGCCACTTGGACCTCTCAGCAGGGATGTGCACGGCTCTGGGAGCGTAGCTGGCTGCTATGGATTTTAAGCTGTAAAGAGCAAGTAACGGACACTTAGCACAAGCCAGTTGTTAATCCCCTGTTTTATGAGTGGTAGGAGCACTTACATTATATCACCCACATTCTCTCTTCCCTCATCTTCCCCACCTTCCCTTCCTCACCTTTCCCTCAATACGGGTGTTGCGTCGCTTTCCCGAGACGGATCACGAAGGCCAGGCTGCTTTAGAGCCTTACTACTGTTTTAAACACAAGTTATGCAACAGTGTTCTGTAAATTTGGCTAACAATGGTGTTATGGATGGTGGTTTCTTCTGCAGAGACCTTAATGTGTTTCTTTGGTCTCTCTGTAAAACCTGGTGTGCTTCATAAGAAGCCAGCCATGGTTTAACATGTAGCTTGGAATAACAGAGCTGTATCTTGTAACCAATAATCCCTGCTTCCTCCTTGCACTTAAATTAAATTGGACACTCAAATCCCAGAGTCGTCTAGTTGGTTTTTTTTCTTTTAATTTGGTGGGTTTTTGGGTTTTGTTTTTTTTTTTTTTTTGTTTTTTTCCTCGTGGTCTCCTGACCCAGCCTCATCTCCAGCACTGCCCTGTCCTATCAGGAATAGGACAGAGCTTCATCTTTGGGCAAAACACGTGAGTCAGGTTCTCCAGGAACATCTTGTTACCTGCAGATGTGCCCAGTGCTGCTGCTTGAGGGCTGTCCTGCACTCCCCTAACACACCCACACTCTTCAGAAGCAGCATGTGGAAGAGAAATAAGTCAGAGTTAGAGGGGAAAAATAAAACTTTCCTAGTGTGCATTGAGGAACATGGGGAGTTTGATGCTGCTAAATCCAGAGGCGTCAACTCCTTTGAGAAGTTCCTCTGTAGATCTGGGATGTGAGGCTGCTGGCACCAGCAGCCAGACCTGATGGCAAAGAGCAGCAGCAGGGCAAAGCTGGAAGGTGCCAGGGATGCTGGTAGAGTGTGGCACTTGAAAAACATATTGCTTAGAGCTGTAAGATGTCTTTAATCTCTTGTGAAGATTGTGGCACACACCTGTACTGACATGATTTTGTGCATTCTGTAGGGGGTTGGGGCTTCATCGTGCAGTCGTTGTTCTTGTAACCAGAGAGAAGCAGGTGCTGGAGCAGCCAAGACAAAGTGGTGGCAGTAATGGTGACTGGTGGGACTGACCCTGCATCTTGCCTTCTGACCTCAGGGTGGGCTTCTTACTGCCAAGGGTTCCCTGCTGTAAAAGTCTGGGTTTCCTACCTGTACCAGGTAAGGGGCTGGGTCTGATGGGGAGAATGAGTCCTGTATTTTGCTGCTTGCCTGGGTGTTGCTTCTTGGCAAACCCATGACATCACGGGGTCCCAGTGCTTCCACTGGTGCCTAGAAAGCCAGGTTGGTAGTGGCCGTGTGCTGTTGCCAGAAGCCTCTCAAATCTGGGAATCTCATAATGAATCACCAATGCATCTTCTGGCTGAGCAGTCTCACTTTGAACACAGACACCTGCAAAAAGCTCTAAATTGCTTTTCCCCCTTCCTCACGGGATGTAAAAATTGCTTTTTTCCCCAAAATTAATCAAATCAAAGTTGAGAGCTTTGGCTTTCTGACTCTTTGCTTCCCTAACATATTGCCCTGACCAGAGGTATTTCAGTGGGAGGGCACCAGGGTGCAGATCAGGAGAAGCTTTGGCGCTGACTGGCAGCAGGCTCTGGTCTTGGTGCTGATGATCTGGCACCTGCTGCCCATCTCTGGCTGTGCTGCATCACCCAGTCCTGCCATCACCCCCAGCCACACAGCAGCAGCTCCTTCCAGCTGCCTCTTGCTGGTCAGTGTTGGCTCTGCTGGCGTCTGTGTGGGCCTGTGTGCACACCATGTGTCTTACTGGCTTGTTCTGGAGTTGGGTTTTTGGCTTTTATGTTTAGCCAAATAAGTGCAAAATTATTTCACTCTGTCTGTGCCAGATCGCTTCTGCCACCCTGTCACAGCCAGCTCCCGTTGTGGTTTCCTCACCTGCCATCTCAGCAGTGGTTTGAGTGAGAAGGTGCTTCAGTGGGGCTCAAAGGATTACCCAGTGGTTTCTGTGAGCCATCAGCACTCCTGTCAGTCCCCACATCTGTTGTAGGCAAGGAGCAGATACTGCTACTGGAGCAGATCCTGGGCACAGCAGGTTAAGGCAGCATTAACTAATTTCCTGTGTTGTGAAGGTGCTTCAAAGCTCCCTCCTTTGCCTGGCCACAGGCTGGCAGGTATGGATGCTCCCACTGTGCTGCTGGGAGCAGCCAGCTCTGTGGATAACATGCCCCATGGATGGGCCAGACTCACCCAGAAGTCTCGGGAGGAAACACCACTGCCCTGGTATTGCCTTGGCTGTCAGACCCAGGCTGCCAGCATACAGAGGTTGGTGTCACAGCTGGATGTTGGGCACCTCATGACAGCACTGTGCCATGGCTGCAGTGGTCTGGGCTCAGTCTTCCTCCCCTGTGTGGAGTCATCTCCTGCTCAGCCTGGGCAGGAGATGATCTGAGCTCAGTCATCAATGCAAGACTTTGGTACAAAGTCATCTTTATTCAGTGTGAGACAAGAGCCCCCCCCAGGCTGGATGGGGCTTCACGCATCCCTTTGGCTTGTGGCTTTTGGCTTTCAGACCCTTTCACCCCATGGCAAGATGCCCTTTCCCTTCTGCGTCCTGCTGCCAGCAGCTCCCCAGCACCGGAGGAGGTGGCTGTAAGGGGCACACCAGCCCCTCGCCTCGCCATCCCTTGGCACCCCGGTTGCTCCTTCCTGCTCACGCCTTGCCATCAGCGTCTGGAGGCACAAAGCTGCTGGGCTGGTAGCCCGGCTTGTCGTCCTGCTTGCGGTAGTACATCCGTGCCACCACTGCCAAGATGAAGGTTTGGGGGATCAACAGCTGCATGTTCATCTCTGGAGGAGGAGGAGGATGGTCATTGGAAGCTGCTTTCACCCACCATGCCCGTTCCCCGTGCCCTGCCATGCTGGGGGCCCGGCCGGGGGGTGCGACGCCGCTTCCCCGGCTCCCGACTTACGCTGCGACCTGGTCTTGGAGGAGAAGGGCGGCGAGCAGGCGATGCTGCCGTTGTTGGCCAGGATGCTGAAGATGGCAGGCTGCAGTGCCGTCAGGACGAGGAGGATCTGCAACCACCAACACCTGAGGTGCTGCCAGGCTCCTGCCCTTCGCTCCCCATCGTCCCACAGCTGGACCAGGCTCTCGCCTGCCGGTGGGCTCGCGCCTGCCGGTGGCTCCTGCCCCACCAGTTCCCTCCACGCTGCCTCAGCCCGCTTGTGCCAGAGAATCCCCTCCCCTAGGGGGGAGCTGGGCAGGACAGGGGCTCACCTGGAAGCAGAAGAACTTGGCCCTGATGTTCTGCTCAGCCAGGTGCAGCTGGGCCTGCCGGAAGAGGATGCCCAAGGCCCACAGCCCAAAGAGGGTGGAGGCTCCAGCCAGGGTGTTGATCCAGAGGGCCACGCTCTCTGCCGAGATCTGGGGGACACACACAGAATAGGCACCCCGGCTGGCAGGGCTGCTGGGCGACACAAGGCCTGGTGAAGGCTCCCCATCCAGGACACCACCCTGCCCAGGTCCGTGCCCTGGCACTCACGTCAGCAGGGTTGTAGTTCCCATCAGTGGCCAGCACCAGCCCCAGAAAGACAGCGACCACCCTGAAGAAGGCATACTGTAAAGTCCCCAGCATCATCAGCTGAAGCTTTCTCCTGGTACAACAAGAGAGATCAGTAGCATCCCAAGGTCCCCAAGCCCCTGCTCAGGGTCTTCTCTTCCACCCCAGCAGAAGCAGTGGGTCAAAGCCCTCCCCAGGGTAGGGGCATACCCCAGGTTTCCCTTACTTGCTCATGGTCATTCGGGGCAGGCAGGGGCAGCAGCAGCAGCAGGGTCCGGTGCTGACCACCATGGGCACATCCTTCAGGGTGCTGAGCAATGCCTCCTTCCCCCCAAAGCCCTCCACCATGACCAGCATCAGGAGGTAGAAGCAGATGGCAAAGTACCTGGGGAGGAGGAGGAAGGAAGGTCAAGCCCTGTGGGCTCTCTGATGCACCTGCCCCAGGGTAAGTGATACTCACGATGTGGTAGCCATCTCCACCACCATCATGGAGCGTGGGATCCACAGCCCAAAGCAGCTGACCACTGACACAACCTGGCAGAGTCGCAAGCTTGGCACACTGCTGCTCCCCGCTCCCGTGGGCTGGCACCCCTTGGGTGGCTGCAGCCCCCAGGTGATGCCCCACATCCCAGCTCACCGTGGGGGCCGAGCTGCTCCAGCAGAGGGTCTTCATCTTGATGGGGCAGCGGATCTTGCGGGTGAGGTAGAAAGCCTCTTCCACGAAGATTGCGACAGACAGCAGTGTCATGATAGTGGCGAGGCCCATGATGATGAGTTGGACCGTGTCCAGCTCTGCCAGGGAGGGGTGAGAAGCCAGTTCCATCCTGTTCTGTCCCTGCTGGGGCCACCGCGGTGGGGAGCTGCCACACAACCTACCACTCCACAGCTTTGGGAAGCCCCTTGCCACATCCTTGGCACATCTGGCTGTGCCAGAGCTGATGCTTCTGCCTGCTGCTCCCATGTCACCTGCCCTGGTGCCAGCCCTCCCTGGGTAGCTCCCATCCCCGCAGGCAGGGCTATGGGGTGGGAGGATGAGACCCCAGCAGCACCTTGCTGCTTCCCCATTCCTCAGGGCTCCTCCCTGCCTGCACCTGCCACCACCACCCTGCTTCCTTCATCCCTGTCCTGCTCTTGCCAGTGGCAAGAGGAGGGTCCCTGCCACCTGGTACCCCCACCTACGCCACAGCAGCTGCCGGGAGGTGGGTGGCAGGGAGAAGCAGGCTGCTGGCACGCTCAGGTTCCTGATCAGCATCTCCACCAATGGACGGGGGAACCTGCAGAGAATAAGGGGAGCGCTGCCCAGACCTGGCAGGGACCTGGGGACATCCAGCCCCACAGGGTACCCTGCCTGCCTCGCCTCACCCACAGGCACCTCCCAAAGAGTGAATAACCCAGAACCCTGCTCCAAAAACTTGCATTTGCCCAGCTGCAGAGTGGCGCAGGGGTTCCTGGCACCCACCTGGGGTCCTCTGCCAGCTCCATGGCGGGGTCCATCCTGCTCTGCTCCTCCCCGGCTCTGTCCTGGCGGCTGCTCAGCACCGCCTGCTTCGGCTTCCCTCTCCTGCCCGTGGGGTCAGAGTCCTCGGGGCAGGGTTGGGGGGAG